TGTGAAAAGATGTTTTTGGGACATGTAACAAGAATTTCCTCACTGTTCCGGCTGGATCTCAGACACAGTTTTGGTTGGCCAAACATAAAACGAGGTGGAAGAACTATTTCAGTGTCCTCCTCTCTGCGGGAATACTTTCAAATTGACTGTAACAAATCGTGTTCATGCCGATGTTCTGAATTTCATTCTCAGGTGAGAAAGAAGGCGAGAGCTCCACAGTTCTCCTCCTGGAAGCTGAGGAGCTGCAAGTGTAGTACGAGCTGCCAGATCGTTAGTCCGGCTAATCCCGGCCGCAGTCGCACCGGCGGAATGATATTAGGGATCTGAAATGCTGTTAGGAGGGCCAGGTGGAATCAGATTAAAACCAAACTGCGCAGTGTGCGTTTACGGGGCCCATAACCTTCTACTCAGCATGAATTTTGATCGGTACAAAGGGAACAAAAGGAGGAGGAACAGAGAAAGAAAAAGACAGAGGGGAGATACTATGTCTTAGAAGAGAGCCGTTCCTTTGGGCAGCCGGGCAGCAGAATCTGAAAAGGCTCTTAGCTCGAGGAAGGAAGAAAGAACTATAGATTTTACAGCATCAAGTCTCAGATAGTTCAGCAAACCCTTTCCTGTCTGTTCTGTCTGTGCACCACATGAGCTAATTACTACCTGCCCCCACATAATGAATTATTTATCAGGACTATTGCTGCTGTCAAATAATTTAATGCTCATAATTCATTTTCCGCTTACAATTGTATTTATAGATTTAAATTGGTCCTGTCCTGCTGGAGATTAGGAATATTTATAGAAATATTTTAGACTATTTGATTAATACAGCAGGTTTAAGTGGTTAGTATTCGCTCAGCATCATTAATCAATATAAGCGGGCTTGTTAAAAACATAAGCATATAGTGGTGGTGGCAATGTGTCATACCAGAATGAGTTAAGGGGTTTCCAGTCTGCACATTTATTATAAATGACCACGTTGAGCTGGAGGGGAAACAGTTAAGACACTTATGCAATTATGCTAAGTGTCACCCTGAGGATGGCCTTTGAACCGAGGTTAAGCTCACTCTGAATTTGTGAAATAAAAGCTAAATGGAGCCATCTTGTGCTCCTGCGTTTTAATATATTGCCTCTAATAAGCCGAGTGCAGGTGGCCTGTCGTGCAGGTGCACATATCCATCTGAGACATAGAGCATAAAGCAGATGAACACATAGGTGCGTGTTAATTTATAGGGATGTAATCTGCATTCATTATCAAGAGCAGCAAGGCCCATTCTAGAATGAGATATAAGGGATTAACAATATTTGTGACTGCAGTAATGCTAGAGAGTAAATTATGAATTAGAGCAACCAAAAACTACAGTAGAGAGGCTGGAAAGATTTGACCTGCTGATACTGAATTTAGACAATTTCTGTCCAGGGATTATTATTAACAAACCATTTTAGTCAACTTTTCAGTTAAAAATATATATAAAAAAAAATCAACTACACAACTTTACAATTCTTTATTATTTATTTTGCACACCTGAAAATGTAGAAGTGCATCATAAGATAGGTTTTAGTGGAAGGAGCAGTCAAAATAAGTAACAGTTGTGCCTATTTGAAAGAAAATGAATTAATCTGCTATTATTTGTTAGAATGCCAAACCATTAAATCATTTAATGTAACTATTATTGGCACCTGAAGTCACTCTTCTGTTGTGCCACATCCATAAGCGGTGTCGTCACACAATGTGTCAGAGAGAGAGCACTTGGTATTGCAATGCTCTGCCGTGAAAGCAGGTTTTACTAATGTCTTCAAATCTAAGGCAAAACATTTGGAAATTGCATTTCAAACTGTCCTCCATGTCAAAAATGAGCAATTAGGTCACTTAACATGATTAGCAGTGCAAACTTTTCATCACGTCTAGAATTAGTAAACCCATTTCTTAATTGTGAGAGTTTCCAAATTCTGACAAAATGTTAGAAATGATAACAGAAGATGGAAACTGAGAAACTGTGTTGTGATAAGTTAAGCTTCCTGCTGAAGCTTAAGTTTCATAAACTGAACAGCTGACATGAAAATTCACTTCCTTCCTTCTGTCTTCATTGTAGGTAACTCACCATACTGAAAATATATTCTTCCTTCGAGTAACTTTAGAAACAAACAATAATGTCAGAACGATCTCTTAGTGCTTGGTATGACCACATGCGCTCACAGATTGGAAAAAAAGGGTCAGATTTTTAGCTTCAATCACTGGTCAGGCGTAAAATCGTCTGATTTTAGTTGCCCGCAGATTTCTTGGTGCATCTCCACTAAATTGAATTTAATTTCTCTAATAGGAAAAAGCATGTCTGTTCATTTTTATACAGTGAAGGCATTTTAATGGAAGAAGAATTTCAAGACTGCTCAGACAGAAGGGCTTATAACCACAAGGTCAACAGATTTAACAGGGGACATTTTTTATTATTTATTTTAGCAGTTAACCTTTTTGTGAATTTCCAGAAGTGGTGGGCACCCAGAGCTCCGATGAATATACATGACAGCAGGGGAGGGGAAACCCAGGAATGAGATTTAATTTGACACGCTGACCCCCATCTCCACGGGTCCGGGAAGCCGGGGTGAGAAAATAAGGTTGACCCAGTGACCCCCTTGGGCCTGAACTCCTCCGTCACCCATTCTTACAATTAAATCAGCCTGAGAGAGCAGGAAGCTGTTCGACCAACCAATGCCGTGATTATGGTGTCTCATCTCCTGTTTGCTCTGTGGAGCTTGCAGACGTGTTGCTGTCGTCCAATCAGACACGCGGAGCCCACTTGAAAACACCAACCCCTCCTAGTTCAAATGATAAACTGACTTATTAAACATTCAAATATTACGATTAGTTGGCAATATGCTAATGGAAGTAAAGCACAACTTGGGCTGCCACTCTTTTTGAACCCCTCAATCTGTATTTGCATAAGCTGTGCAATTTTGCTAATGCAGGCAAGTGCAAGCAACCTTTTACCCTTCCCATGGTGCCTAATGCAAAGAGTGTGCATACATGTTAGAGGGTGACCTCACCATAACCCTAAGAGGTTACTGTGTGTCTACACAGCATCCCCGATACATTGAGTAATTCATTTCCCCTCCTTGTTCACCCCTTCAACTCAGTCTAAAGAAAATATGTGCGGACACCCCGCACCGACGCTCCCTCTCCCTCTGCCACCGTTCACTCAGTGCAATTTCAAGTTAAAGGTTATAGAGCAGGACTGAAATACATTTATATAGGCATGGAAAGCCTCAGAGTGCATTTTGTGGCCACGGCCAAAAGGCTGCACTTTAGTCTGCACACGTTACAGCATTAGATTACATGTACTCCAAAATACAGTTATAAGGCAGACAGTGAAAAAGTCAATATCTTGCCATCATGTTTCCTTTTGGTTCACTGCTGACTCAAGGAGACAAGCGAAGGTCCGCTGTGCTCTCTAAACTATTGAGATGCCCCCGTCTTGATTTGTCCAGTTTGTGTACGTGCGTGCACTTGTGTGTGTTCGGTTATTTGAGCATTCTTGATTTCTGTCCCTCTGCCTCTTGTTCGTTTTCCCTTTCCTCCCTGTCAGTCTGTGTGTTTGCATTGTGCAGAAAACGTGTGTCGACGTTTGTGTTGCAGTTGTGTGTGTTTGTTCTCTGAAGGACTTTAACAGCTGCCATAGCGTGTGGCTAATGAAGCACTTAGGATCCTGGTTCGCTGGCTTAAATGAATGTGAGGACACAGTGACTAAGAGAACAAAAGATTACACAAACTAAAGTCATATTCATTAGAGGTGAAGCAATTGGTGGATTTTGCAAGGCTTTAACCTACTGAAGCTGGCTTTGGCTGGTTTCCCCATGAACATCTCCCAAAATGCTTAGCTTTCCTGCTGTGAATGATTATTAATTATTTATATTAGGAACAAAGGCAATGTCACACAGTCTGTGTTAGAGAGCAGTCACTGTGAAATGGTCAGAGAGTTGACGTATGAAACTATCGTTATTGCGTTATATTGGTGATTAGCACAGTTAGCGTTTCTAACAATAAACATATGTCAAAAAAAACATAACTTATGTTTACTCAGATTTCCAAAACACTGCAGACGTTTTTAAATCCAGCATGCTCCGTAAAAGAGAGGAGTTAAAAGCTGGGCAAGGATAACAGATGAACTTTACACAATTTGTTCAACCTTCCTGTTATCTGCTGAATACTTTCTCTATCTTGCTTTCTAGCAGTCTGCATGAACGGCAAGCTTGCCTCAACATATTGAAAGTACAGTTTCATTTTCATAGTCTTTTACATTTCTGTGCTTCCTCTGATCTCAACTTTATTATCTTTGAGAATAAAAGTGGCAAACTTAGAGTTGTCTTCCCACAGTAACAGTTTCCACACCAAAGAGTGTTGTAAGTGTGATCTGGTATGGCGTAGTGTGCTCACTGGCTTTGACAGACTTTTTAAGCTAAACAGGATAAAACAGAGCAGCTTTGTTGTACTCCATACATGATTAATGTTATCTGTCAAAAGTTTTGCTACCTTCCGGCCTAAGAATAAGAAGCACAGCTTTTAAAATAGTTTATTATATCTTTGTGCTTCCTCATTACATTTCTACACACTTCTCTGAAACTGAAAGCTGAATTTCAGTCCCATGTGAGCAGTAACACCAAAAAGTGTTGATGCTACTGTGGCCTTTTAGCGCTTAGATATGTTGATTTCAATGACTGGACAATTTTTCATCTTTGTGTATGGAACAGTTTGACGACTGAAAATAAGCTTATTCTGGTCACTAGATCATTGTTATATTGTGCAATAATCTTTAAACAAATCTTAGTTATTGTAAGGATTTTTGTAAATTGTATTTTAGATCGATTAACAAGAAAAGTTACTTGTTTAATTGTTGTTAAGCTCTTACTGTACTCCTAATTTAAATTTATTTCTGCTAATCATCTTTCTCCCTCTTCTTCTTTGTTCCCCCCACATCAATCCTCCTCCTACTGCCTCCCCCTCACCTCTTATAAAGGCTGCTGAATAGAATGGCCGCTGATGAACGGCATCTACCGTCCAGCTGTGGGTCCTACATCAAAACAGAGCCATCCAGCCCCTCCTCGGTCATCGACACGGTCAGCCACCACAGTCCCAGCGGAAATTCGGACGCCAGCGGCGGCTATGTCAGTACCATGAACAGCCACTCTAACGGCCTGGACTCTCCACCCATGTTCACCCCCGGTGGGCTCGGCGCCGGCTCCTGCCGCAAGCGCTACGACGATTGCTCCAGCACCATCATGGAGGACTCGTCCATAAAGTGCGAATACATGTTAAACTCCCTCCCCAAGAGGCTGTGCCTGGTCTGTGGAGATATAGCCTCGGGGTATCACTATGGGGTAGCTTCTTGTGAGGCCTGCAAAGCCTTTTTTAAAAGGACAATACAAGGTATTTCCCCTACTCTCCCCTACCGCTATTTCATCTCATGTTGCCACATCAACAGACACAAAAACACCCTGACATACATGAAACCTCTGGTTGCAGAGCAACACTGAAACATACTCAAGGAAAGAGATTCATTTAATACCTCTAGTGGAAAATATATATTTTTTCATGTTGCCAGCCTAAAATATTTCAACTACTACTATTTTAAATATGACACAATGTAAACTTGTCTTCTGTTAGGCTGTGAGTCAGTTTGCCCTAAACTTATTTTCTCTATTAATTTCTAGTTTGTATCCATGCACTTCACATTTCAAACCAGTTGATTTCTTTAGGGATTTTGATGAATTAGTTGAGATACGTGGTTCTGATAAGCATATGAAGTATGAAGAATTTTGGAGAGATTTTTCAGTCCAACCATCTCATGCTTTTGTAGTTTTGGTCATTTCATACCCAAATTTTTAGGGTATAAATTGGAGAAATGTGGACGGAATTTTTGTGTGTACAAGGGAAACATTTTTTAATTCACACTGACAACTGATTAAAACAATTTTCTGTATTATGACATAGTCTACTGTGAGGAAATGCAGCAATGCATCTCTAGTAAACAATATATTGCAACATGATGTTGCTTGGACTTGTCATGGTTTGACCAGGGGTCACAATCTGTCACGTGCCATGAGAATCTAAGGGTAAAAAAGAGGATTAGAACAACAATTGTTAAAAAGTGGAATGACAGTAATTTCAATTCTGTGAAATTTGAACATTTTATGACTAAGTAAGTACCAAGTAACTTAAAAATTGTGACACCTGATCAAACTAAAATCCAGGGTCTCAGAGGTTGCTAATATTTATCAGAATCACATAATGACATTATTATCCACAAAACTACCAGTAGATCATAGAAAATTACTTTAAATCATCACCTATCAAAGCAGGAATGAAAGGCGAAAAAGCCACAAAGTTAGGTACAAAATGACAGAAACTGCAAAAGAACAAAATAACATGGAGCAAAACGGTCAGTATCCGTAATTGTTATAAAACAGAAACTGGGGTACCTTTGACATAGAGAGATTATGCTGCCATCATCTGTCATGATCAGTGGACTTATCCCACAGAGGTCAGATTTGTTTTTTTTTTTAACCCCAACGCCAAAGAGAGGAGACTCAAAAGCACATTTTATTTTTCCTGTCCTGTTTGTGTGTGTATTTCTGCATAGGGACTGATTTGGTTATCTGCAAGACACAATGTATTGCAGCTTCTCATTAGAGAGGCAATGAAAGACCCCCAACTGTGAAACTGTGTGCTCTGCTCCAGATTAATCAGGAGGAGAAAGATATTGTTGAGCCGGGGAAAAAAAAAAAAAAAAAAAATCTGCACAACAGGCACAGCTGCTCAGGTCAGGACTAAGCTCTGTTGGCTTAGCAGTGGAACACATGCAATGGGAAAATCAAATAGAAAAGGTAGATGAGCCAAATCGAGATTCCTATTATGCCTTCCATCCATTTTCCTCTGTAAATTTTTATCAGCAAATGATTGCAGGAATTACACACAGAGCAAGTCTGTCTGTCTTGATGCTAGGTGTTGATTTTGGACCTTGCAGCCCTATCAGCTTTAGACAGTCTATGTACCTTTTGCAGGCAAACAAAAGCATTAGGCCAAATCCTCCTGTTTACTCATGCTGCCATCAGCAATCCTGTCTGTTGACAAAAGATGAACATTTTCTCTCAAGTAGCATAACTGAGCTTTTGTCCCCTCAGTAAAAGTATACTGACAGCAACACAATTGAACAGAAACGATGCACTGGGGAAAGAAAGAGACGTCTTAAGTGGAGCAATGGTCCAAACAATTAAGAGCAAGGTACAAGGAGGGGGGAAAAAATGGAACGCTCCTCTTTTTTTTTTCTCCCTCACTTTGCATTGTCGATTTGAAATCCCTCTCTTTCTCTTCTTGGAGGGCTGCCTGTAATGGAGCTAATCTGCCGTCGTTTGTCCGAGCCACAGGAGTTTTGTCAATAACAATCAGCGTTTGGAAAGTGTAATTAAGGCCGAGGCTTTTCATTAGGAGGAAGGGAGGGGGCTGTCTCCAGGGATGGGCATGCCAATTAGAAACTCAGGCACGCGTCGCCGGGTAATTTCAGCGAAAGGAGGGGGAAAAAACCCAGGACTTCTTTAGATTGGAGAGGGACCCTGCTGCTCCTTCAGAGGAGAGGAGGGGAGGCTTAATGGCATAATAATCAGACAGGGGTCCCGAGCAGAGGAGGCAGGAGGACGGAGAGACTTTTTTTTTTTTGGGGGGGGG